CACACACACGCACACACGCACGCACGCACACGCACGCACGCGCGCGCGCGCACACACACACACACACGAGAACCAAATTTAAATACAGAAATTAACACCTTCATCCTAAAGGGAAATGAAACCTTAACCGATAAGGTGTAATTAAAAAAAATATATGGCACATTTTAAGAAGTATTATTATTATAATATATCATTATATTATTTAGGGATATGTTTATAATCCAAAGTAGTCACTCAAATTCTCAAATTATAAATTGTATAAATTATATTTTTTTCAATGACCTGAATGACTGTGAATCTTCATGACAAGTGACGTTCATGAAACCATTTTGCGACGACTTTTGCTTTGTGACATGGTGCATTATCATGATGCACATTGCCAGCGACAATACTTGACAATACTTAGCTGTGGCATTCAAATGAATATTGATTGGTATTTAGGGTCTTAAAGTCTGTCAAGAAAACACTCCCCACACCATTACATCACCACTGGCAGCCTAAGCTGTTGACACAAGGTGGGTTTGGACCATGGATTCATGTTGTCGACGCTTAATTCGGACCCAACCATCTGTGTGCCTCAGTAGAAATCAAGCTCACCACAGTTGTAAACAGTGGTTATCTGAGTTACCGTAGCCTTTCTGTCAGCTCCAACTAGTGTGGCCCTTCTCCTCTGACCTCTCTTGTCAATAAAACGTTTCCATCTGCAGAACTTGTGCTCAGTGAATGTTTCTTGTTTTTCACACCATTCAAAGTAAAAACTCTAGAGACTGTTGTGTGTGAAAATCCCAGGAGATCAGCAGTTTCAGAAACACTCAAATCAGCCCGTCTGGAACCAACAATTGTGCCACGATCAAAGTCACTGAGATCACATATTTTCCCCTTTTTGAGGTTTTATGTTAACATTAACTAAAGCCCCTGACTTGTATCTGCAAGATTTTATGCATCCGCCAAGTGGATAACTGCATGAGTTAATTCAAATAAATGGGTTGGTTGTTATTTCTTTTAATACACAAATTAATTAATCATCATAATCATCTTTGCCATTATGTCTACCTCAGCTCCAGTTGAAGAGCTTCTTATCTTCTATTTTTAAAAGACACATTATTAAAAGACACCTGCCACCTGTATATGTGCAGCCACCAAATGGTTAAAGTCTAGTGTTCAAATTCAAATGTCTAATTTGTTTGTCTTTGTTTGGAAAGAGCCGTTTCTCTCTGGCACAGCCAGAAGTATACGTGAGACACAAGGTGAAGGGCCCTTCATTTGCCTTGGCTGCAGCCCTGCTCTCCTGTGCAGCTGTCTCTGCCATCATTTGCGTCCCCACACTGCGCTGTGATGGACAGGTGGAGGCCTCTCACAGCAGCATCAATGCATGGCTCCAGGGCCCTTAGCCTTGGAGGCCCTAATGTATACTCGCTGATGCTAAACCCAAGTACACTTCAGCAGGAAGATGTGGGGCTCTTTTTGCAGCCAAAACTAAACTAGATTTTAAAATCCCACCTAAAAGAATTCAGGACTTGGAAAGTGAATGCTTAAGTGGCCACATGAGAGCACAAAGGGTAGCAAAACCGTACTTTAACTAAATTATTAAAAGACAAAGGTGGGTTATATTAATGCACAGACATATATATATAAATATATATATATATACATGAGAGTTGGGAGATTATCCTGCATGGGTTTGTCCCTTCACCAATGCATATGCATATTAATATAAATATAAATATAATGATTAGATTTAAAGTGAACAAAAACAAGCAATCAAAGAATAATAAGATCTCACTCAGTAAAATATCACCTTTGAAAAGAGTGAAAGTTTGTTTTTTTTCTAAATGTGAACGTTTGAAGTTACACAAGGCGATCCGTTTGGAATGAGCTGAGAACCATTTAAGTCCCTGAAAGACATCAACACATTATAAAACTGTAGACAGTAGAGTCTCCTTTCAGCAGCATAAACCATATTTTTAATCCACCAGCACGAACACTGAAGTAAAAGGCTCATGAACAAATATTAGACAGTAAATGCTGTAGTGCCAAATCATGATGCATAAGCAAACTATGGCAACTATGTGCCTGAGCTCCAGTAACAACAGGTACCTGAGAAATAACTCACCACTAATTGTTCATAATCATAAAGCATACGAGGCTGTCTTAGGCAAAGGGTGAGGTCCACTGCAAACTACATTACATGTCTATCACATCTGTCAGAAACTGAAATGAAGTAACTACACAATCAAACACATTATTAAAGTCATGTGGATAAAACAGCATTAATTTAATGCAATATTCCCTGTGGTTATATTGTGGTATAAAACACAACTTGAATTGACCATTTAAAACTGTTTATGTTGAGAGGTTCAAATTAAAATTTATACCATTCACAATAAATGCAATAAATAAATAATCCATAAACTGCTTCTTGGTTTGCTGAACAACCTAACACTTTACTCTCATTCCTTTGTTGCAGTTTTAACCACATTGGACTCTTTATTGTATTTTTTACTGTGTGTGCAGACTTTCTACTGTCCTCTGTGATTCATTATTTTATTGTATTTTTGTCGTTCTACTTTTCCCTTGCTGCAGAATATCCTTTGTAGGACAATGAAGATCTGAACTGAACTGAAATGGACTATCCAAGAAATTGGGATAAAAAAAATCATCACCTATTTTCATGTTTCGATGTGTTTTAAGTATGTTTCTGTCCTTTTAAATTAGATTCTGAGCAAAATTCAGGTAGGAGAACTAGAAGACACAGCAAATCAGTTTTCAAATGTCAGCCAATTATTTACATTAGGGCTGCAAATGACAATTAATTTATTAATAATCTGTCTATTATTCTTTTGATTAATTGCTTTGTCTGTATATTGCCACAAAAAGGTGACAAATGACAAACACAGATTACTTGTTTTGTTTGACCAATAGTCCAAAACTAAATAGTTTTCAGTTTCCAATATTATAAATCACATTTAAGAAGCTGGAACTATTACATCGTTTGGAGTTTTGTTAAATGACTGTATCAACAACTATCAATCAGCTAATTATATTAGCAATAATTTACATGTATTTACATTTACTCTGTAAATGCTCATAATGAATAATACGACCATCCACTGTGATCCAGTGGCTTGTTTATTTGCCTCTCCCAGTCTCCTCTCACTGACAGGGGTGTCAGGTAGCTTTGCATGCCCACTGCACACTGATCTAACTGCTGCACAGTTCCTCACTTTGCACCATGATGAGACATGCATGCTGGGTTTAACTAAAGACATACAAAAATTTTTTTCCATAAACATGATATATACTAAACTAAACATGAATAACATCTTCATCTGAAGTCTTAGCATCATAACAGATATTGCATCAGTCTTTGTTCAATACTTCAGCAGTAACTTAGATGAATGTCTCTTTCCTCATCTAATAATAATTAAATAGTTCTAAACAATAATAATCAAATAAATAAATCTAACACTTGCCTAAACAACTAATTAACACAGACTGAGGATTTTAGAAATCAAACCTAGATTATACCTGGATAATTTTGAATTAAATAAAATGATTGTGTGAAATTATAATTATCCTACATCACAATTTTCACCTGTCCTCATTTTTCATCCAGTTTTCTCTATTTTTACCAAATTACCTTACCCTTGTTACTTTAGCTAAATTGAATTAATAGCGAACAGGTATGTGTACCCTCATGTTAACCTGAAAAAAAAACTCCTTATCCCGTCACATACCCCACCCTATCATACAACAGGGCAACTCCAAGTCCAACCCAGGAGTGCCACATCCCCAGCCCTCCCCACAGGACTAAACCTTTCATCGGGCTGTTTGTCTGCGCAAACCCACGCTCTCTCACCATGCTCCTGCTCTGACACATGCCCGCAGTGTTAACCCATCCTGGTGTTGAGCGGTGGGAGTGTGCTGCTGTGTTGTCCTCTCTGTTTGTTTAAGAGATTAAGGTAGTGAACCCCAGCCCTGTGGAGTCCCCAGACTTCATACCACCAGAGCTGCACAGAGCGTCAGCATTGTCAGTCACTGGTGCCGGTGAAATTTAGAAGCGTTTAAATCCCAATTAAAAGCAAAGGTTTCACAGATTAGACTATCAAAGAATGGACCTAGTGATTTAAAAATCAAAACTGCATGCAGCAGTTTCTGCACTGCAAAAATAGTCTGATATATGGAAAGAGGAACTTAAATGAGACTGACTTTAAAACATGTCCAGCAAGTATTACCACCAATTCCTTAGAAACATTCATAATCAAAACCAATTTCAACAAACAATTTTTCTTTTAAGAGTTGGTTATTCCTGTCTCTCGGGTTTCGTCCAGGGATGATGATGATGACCTATATTTTGCATGCTGAAATCACAGGAGGGCCTTTGTCTGGAAAATATTTACATCTCTTAACACAGCTGGCTTGTCCAACCACTGGCACAAAACAAACAAGGAAGCAAGGTAGAAAAACAACTCATAGGTTAAGTTACCACTAAAGAGGTCTTTTAGTGTTAAACGTCAAAACAACATGGACCATTTTGGACTTTTTAAAATAAACTGAGGTTGGCTTTAAAGGGGAATTTGAATATGAAGAGGAAACTCTGTTTTAACAGTTCTGGTCTATGAAACTAAAAACGGTCCAGTATAGAATAAATCTGATAGTTCCAAGTTTATACATAAGAAGTAACTAAAGGTGAAAACTTAAATATTCTAAACTAAATTCTGTATTTATTTTTTGATTAACAGTAGTTAACTAAAATCTAATTGAAAAAGTAGATCCTGATTTGGACAGACATTTATTACATAAAAAATGTGCCAAAACACTTGAAATAGAAATTTCCACCACAAAGTATGCAGACTTTGTCAAACATGAACAATAGGCCCTTATAAAGCTGAGGTATGTTGAGAGCATGTGATGCTTGGGGGGGTGTGGCCCCTCAGGTGCTCTGGAGGTAATACTCTTCAGGTAACACTGAGTGACTCATTTTGGCACACACCTTAAACACCACACATGGCACCCTTACACCTTACCTCTTCAACTCAACCTGACAACAAACTGTGGGAATAAGCTGAGTATGCACTGCGTTTAATGAAACGGGATTTCTTGGAAACACTTTTTTACTTCCTCTGCTTTTGATGAACTGTTGGATTTGGACTCAAAGACAGTGAGTTGTGAAAAACAGATGTGATTTTTCTGCAAGGATTGTTTGTTTCCACTGTCCAGGATCAAATTTGTTTCCTCAGGCAGACGGTGGAAGTACCAGTACTGCACAGCATTTGCAGTAACCTCAATTTATCATCTGTTTTCTGGGACATTTTTGAACTGTCCATGACAATGCCAGTGGTCAAAGTGGAGAAAGACTCTCCAGCAGACACTTTGTCTGACTCCAACCCTCCACCACAGACAGAGGAGCAGCCCAGAGGTCGGAGGAGGAAGAGACCTTTGCAGCGGGGGAAACCCCCTTACAGCTACATTGCACTCATTTCTATGGCCATAGCAAACTCCCCTGACCGCAAGCTGACATTGGGAGGCATCTACAAATTCATCACAGAGCGTTTCCCCTTCTACAGAGACAATTCAAAGAAATGGCAGAACTCCATCCGCCATAACTTGACTCTCAATGATTGTTTTATCAAGATCCCTCGAGAACCGGGGCGGCCAGGCAAGGGAAACTACTGGGCTTTAGACCCAAACGCAGAGGACATGTTCGAGAGCGGCAGCTTCCTGAGGCGGAGGAAGAGGTTTAAGCGCTGTGACTTGAGCACCTATGCGACATATGTGCATGAGACACAAGTTTTCTCTCCTGTCCAGATTCCCAGATCTGCTGCATATACCAACTCAGTTTACCCCAACATGACAGTCAGTCCAACCTACGGGCAGCAGCTTCCATCCGCCTACTACCCCTCCTCATCACCTCCTGGGTTCGGACCAGGTCAGACCCGCATGTTCAGCATCAATAACCTCATGGGACACCCGAGTCCAGCCAGCATGCTGGGAGGCCAAGGGCCAGAGGTGATGCAGCAGCCCAGCCGGAGCTTCAGTCCCGAAGGGCTGCCCAACGGATCCAGTCCCTGCAGGATGGGAGCGCCAGCCTTCCCGAGCCAACCATGCGGAGGAGCCGTACCATCCCGCTCCTCTACACATCCTGGGTTCACCTACTCCGGGCCAAGCGGCCACCTTCACCACCATGCACACCAGGGCTCATATGGACAGGGCCACACCCAGGGGTATGCAGCGACAGGACGCCTCCATGCCTCAGCCCACGGACCTGCCGAGTCTGTGGACCATTATGGCCGGCTCTCCCCAGTACAGCTGGGTTCTTTCTCCCAGTATAACAGTGCTGCAGGTCCTATCAGCAACACTGGGGGTTATCTGAGACACCCCACATACCCGGGGAATATGGACAGGTTTGTGTCTGCCATCTGAGCTACTGAGAACATAGATCCCAGCATCTCTTTAACTTCAAACAGAATATCAGAGACTTGAGGCGGCACCAAGTGAGCCAGACATTTCTGCACACAAACATATTGGTTGTTTTTTTTGTTTGTGACATTAAGGACAAAACTAAACAGTCTGATTAAAAACGCCTCCCTCAACACAACTGTGATTTATACCATTAACCCCACAACCCATTTTCAGTTCTGACGGTAATTTACTTTTAGATCACACTTTAAATGTGGGTTTAAATGTCAAGGCCTCTTCACAGCATGTGAGGATGTAAAATTCATCTAATTTCATGTGTGGTTTTTTGAGCTTTTTGTCATGACTTGAATGTGCAAGTTAAATATTTACTGTTGAAATGACAGTCTTTGAAATGTTACTATAAATTATTGTGTTTCATGGTTCATAGGCTTTGCATTAAGTGGCTTGTATGAAGAACATCAGCTTTAGTACATTTGCATGTATTTTGTTGCCAAATGAAAATGCATATTCGTTTCGAAATAAACAATTATATAGAACTTTTGTTCTTCAAGAATAAAAATTTTAAATTATTGATGTATTATTGCTATTACAACGTAAGCAATTGTGCCATAATATTAGACCATACTTTTTATTGTCCCAGGAGAGAAATTTGATTTGTAGCCAGGTGACATTAGTCACATATCAGAATTACATCAGATATATTTGTACATGTTGTAATTAAACTATAAAACTATTATAATATATTACAAAATAACAAGGACCAAGAGATCCAGATATAATGCCACTAGGAACCAAAATTACCCTCCAACATCTGTGTCTTTTGTGTTTACGTTGCTTCCTACACTGTTTCAGCTCAGCTGGTTTGAAGTGTTGTCTGGAGCCACAGTATTAGCAGTCACCGTGACCAGCCTCAGTTATCATGTCCAGACATCTACACAGCACTTAGACACACACAGTTACTCTATCAGATGGATCCACTAATCAAGAAAATGAATGGACTTGTAACTCAATATTTCAGCCTTTAAAAGTAAGTGGTGCGCTAGAACATCCTCCACAAGTCTGCGTATCAGACAAGATGAGACTCGTGTGGAAATACTTCACTATATTGAAGACACTCGATTCAGAACACAAGCTTTGTTGACTGGTATGAATTGATGTTTTTTTTTTTTTGACACAGTATCCTCCTTTGAGAGGGTCCTAGTTCTTCTTGAGTGACGCTGAATCTTAATATCTATGTGGATTAAATAAGAATAACACTGATCATCAAGTGTCAAATTATGGAGGATGATTTAATTATTACAAGCCCTGCACTCAAGACAACAGTGGCATGGGTGATATACGCTTCAAAGATGCGCTACAGTTTCAGTTATGGTCCAATGGCAGGCTCTAATAGGTAATGGGTGCTCTTTTCACATACTGCACTTATTTAATGTTATAAAATTAGTTGAGCAATATCTAAGTAAGAAGCATGGATTTAAATACTCAGATGTAGCCTACAGTGGCATACATCCTTTATGTTGACAGTACACAGCGACAGAAGATTTCCACAGACAGTAACATTGTGCTAAACCTTGAGAAAAGGGGGAAAAAAAAATCAGCTTTTTTTCCCACATCCAATCTGAAACACATTCAACTGGGATCTACATTATTTTACACTGTAGGATTGTCCTAACTTACCGAATGCTTTAGCGTGCCGTAAGGAAAAACATCCATGACGGAAGATATCATTTGTTTTCGTTTTAGGGGTAAGAGAAGACGGCTGAGAAGAGAGAAGAGGGTATAATTCATACTTACCATACTAACCATTTTTCCTTTTCACAAACTATCAGCTAACAGCTATAACCAAGTGCAAGACCAAGATATGAAATTCAAACCCTTAAAAAGATATCACTTTTATAATTATTGCCTGGTGAGGAAAACCTAAGTATGATTGCTAATAATTTGCAAAGATCTACCAAGGTGCGACACACATGTAGTTATTCAACACGGTGTATTCAAATCTAACTGTGTTGATATTAATATTAACATGAATGTAACACAGGAATGTTTGCTCACCTTCTTGGATCAAGTGGAAGGAGCAAAGACAATTCATAAGATTTAAACGAAATATTTTAATCATACTAAATATATGAACACTTAGAGCCGGGACAAGCTAAAATCTAACACGGACATAAATACAATGAACAAAGGTGATAATAAACACATCAGCCAATGTATTCAACAAGCTGTTGGAGTTGTTCACAATTTTTCACAACTTCTGGCAGAGACAGCAGGATCTGTGTGGAGAAAATAAAAAAACATCCATTAGCTCAAATATCCATACCATAGATTTTACACTCTTGACAGGATGCCAGATGTGAAAGAACACAGGAACCAATTTTAAATAGTCTCTCTTACCTCTCTGACTTTATTGATCATGTTGTTTAACATCTGAAGCTCATTCTCACTTTTGAGCTGGTTGCTCTGATGGATCATTTGCTGTGAGAGACGTTAAAACATCATGAACACACTGGATCACGTCCTCACAAGACAGTTCTAGGGTACTGGCATTAAAACAATCAAATGTTGTCCCAATACTCTAAATAAAAAGGTGCTGGTGTGTCAAGTATATAAAATTATACTGTATATAGTCAGCACTTACATGTCTCTTTGCTCTTTCAAGGAGTTTCACTCTGGCTTGCTCCACTTCCTGAAGACTCAACTTCAGTCTCTCCACCTAAGGATCAAAATCAAAGCGGTGTATGTTAGAGAAAAAGAGCATTAAACCTGCAGTGTTTGCTCAGGAATAGGATGTATTGCTGTATTTGGCTCTATAAGCAACAGGATCATATGTACCTCTCTCAATAACTGGATCTTCTCTTCCATGAAATGTGCTGGGTTAGCTGACAGGCCACCAGCTTTTCTCAACTCCTCACGCAGGCAATGACACTCCACCTTCGACTGCTGGAGAGAGCGACGCAGCTCAACCACCTCCTTCCGCAATTCCTGTGAAATATTGACAAAAAAAACACATTACATTTAGTCAAATCTCTCTGCTGTTTTCACACATTAAATGGCCAAATGAATTATTCATAAGTGGCTTTGAAATATATACATGGATTCTGACTTACGTTACTGTCGGCCTTGTGTTTATTTAGAATTTCCTGGGCGTCTTGAATTTCTGCCGACAACTTTGCCACAGTTTTCTCATCCTGTGTAAAAAGAGAGAGAAATTTTTCAAGTGCTTTTCTCAGCTCAACACGAATCATTCCCATCAGTCAGCCCTCTTTTTTTTTTAAGCCATCTTAGACTTTTTTAGGCATCAAATATAGTATAGTTACCACTGTCAAATTGTACTGCGTTTCTTACCTGAGCTTTCTGCTGCAACGCCTGGCTGCCCCTCTCAACCAGGCTGTTCAGGCGGCTAAGTTGATGCTTCAGCTCAAACACTTCATCCTCATGTTTGCTGTTTGCAGCCTGCTGCTCCTCCTGCAGGCCATAGCTGGAACAGAGCAGGAAATAAAGTTGGATTTTACTTTACATTTGCTTGAACAATGCTTTTTTCTAATCATAAAAATAATTGGTCTAGTTGTTCCAATCAATCATCATCTTTATATCTGCTAAGTTTACATTTGGTTTTCTTTACTCTTGAACACCTTTTTGACAGGTGAAACATCAAAATATTCATTAGTTCCAGCTTGTCAATTGTGAGGATTTGTTGTATTTATTGTCTCATGAGATAATAAATACAAAATCTATGGGTTTTGGACAATTTGTTTGATAAAATAAGCAATCAAATGACATCCCCCTGGACTTAAGAAAACATTTCACTTTTTTCTGGAGTTTTATAAACCAAACAATTAATCTAGAAAAGTAATAAATCGCAGAATTGTTGATGAAAATAATTGTTGTTGTAACCCTTCATTAACTGTTCTAGTGTTAAAGAGATTAGTTGAATCAATAAATGAACTGACTATCAAAATAAATGGAAGGTAGTTTTCTGTCATTCATAAAGCAGAGAATGCCAAATATTTGATGTGTCCAGTCTCTCAAATGTGAGTTTTTTGCTTGTCTCAGTTTTATGTCACTGTAAATTGAATATCTTTTGGTTTTGAACAGATTTTCAGAAAAAAACAAAACATTTTGAAGACACGACCTTGGGCTGTGGAAACTAACATTGGGCATTTTTTAGTATTTTCTAAGATTTAATAGACTGCACAGACTTCACTGCACATCCATTTATCTATAATATCATCAACTAATGAAAATATAGTAAAAGTGATTAGCTAAATAAAGAATAACTACTTGAATAAATCATTAAAGAAGTAAATTTATCAAAAATAATCAGATTCCTCTATGAAAAAATTACATATTTTACAGCACTTACATGGTGTTGTGCAGCTCCTCCAGCTGAGCATCTTTGCGCTGTTGCACCAGCTTCAGGGTGCTGGCGAGCTCCATGACGGTGCTGCCCAGGTCAACCAGCAGCTCTGCCACACTGCTCTGATCCTCCTCCTCTGGTTCAAACTCTACTGCATTTAAATTCTTTTTAGGAGTCACGGCTGCAATGCGGGTGAAGGCGCTCATCTCACTGAACAAAGTTTCACACTGTGGCTCAGGCACGTCTGAGGGGACTGAAGAGACAGTGAACTTAGATTTTCAATTGTCACACCGTCATTGGATGACATTCAATCCCTCTCTGAACTGGGCTTGAGGTGTTGCAATTAGATTTTTCCCATGTAGGCGTGCAATTTTCACTTTCGCTCAGTTATAGCCCATTTAACCCAGATGCTAGGTGTGCTAAATTACTCTGACACACGTTAGTTCAAACAAGCAGGCAATTTTAGCAGTATATTTTACCAGACTAGAGGAAAATGACAGCTGGGTTTATTATCCTTGGGGGAAATGTGGTGATTGTAACACCAGATATTGTAGAAACAAAAAAAATAATAAGAGTATTGATGAAAACACAACCACCAGCTTCTTTTGAAGGGAGGAACATTTTGAGTTATTCTCGGGAAATGGACTTTTAACCTTGCTTCACAGGATATCTATACCTCCATTCTATAAAGGGGAGGCGTATTTGACACGGGTTTGCTGAAAACGCAGTTAACCCATGTTTGAGCCATTCAAATGGAACAGCTGTTGTCACTGACACTGTTCAGAGACACCTGTTTGAACTTGCTTGAACCATATTAAGTTAAATTGTAATATCAGCTCTCATCCTCAATAGAAACATATGTTCACGAAAGCAGTGCAAGTGTCTGATCTAAGTACGACCCAGGTCAGAGATCATGAAGCAAGGCTGGGTGATGCACCATGACCCATTCAGACTGACCACCATGCGTCTAACCAGCATGTCAGTCTCAAAGCTGCTAGTTGTGTTCAAGATTCAAGTTCAAGTTTAAAAATAAGAAATGCTAAGTAACTGGCTGCTATAATGAGCAAATACAATCTGT